AAATTTATAGAGCGCATGTGTGTTCAGGAACAATATTGACATATTTCATTGATATTATCATTCTACACATTATATCAAAATATTTATCCTGAACACACATGCGCTCGGTGACTTTTATTCAAAATATCGACGAAATATGTACATTTTTCTGCAAAATTCATAAAAAACTGAAATTACGTCATATTTGTAACGTCATTACGTACATATGACGTCATTACTTATGAAATTATTCTGTGCTTTGAAGTCAGCATATACTCCCCTGTTTAAGGACTTAATTAAATATTACTCCATCAAAGTTTGATTTTGGGGGGCAAATGTTGGTTAATACCGCATATAGTTCTTTGTTATGGAAGTAGCAAAAGAAAAACATAATACTTCAGCGTGCGATGGACCTTCTGATTCAAGTGAGACTTTTATGAATTTAATGTTGATAGTCAAAGGCATGATATCAGGGTAGATGAGGATCTAAACATCACACGGTTAAGATCAGACTTGGATTCTAGAACGATGAAAGGCACACTGGGACAGAAAACATTAAACAGCACATTCTTGAGTGCAAGAAGGGCAGATACACTCACATCATCATCATCCTAATCACCTTACAATACACCAATAAATGACAGCAGCGAATATGTAAAAGAGGATTTCCACCATCAGCTACGGTTCGAAGTCTAATAATCATCATAGGGGATCTCAGTTCGAAAGAGGGGCAGGACAACACTATAACTACGGTATACTACAAGATAAACATGCATGGAACCGGGACAAGAAAGGACAAAGGATAGAGTCCAGTGGAGGTCTAGCCATAATCAACTTTGAAGGACCCTCTTCCCACACCATGACATCCACAAACTGACCTGAGACTCACCAAACAGAAGAGACAGTAACCACTTTTACCACTTGTTGATATACGATACATGTACACTGAGGAGCTCGCTATTTGATGTGAAGACCAAAGTTCACATATTGAGAGTCACCACATGCGCATTGTCCATGAAGAAGCCTGGGACTAGGTCAACCATTCAGGCATGATTTAACATGTAGCAACTTGACAAGAATTAAGCATGCTTTTTTTTTAAAGAAAGAACGGATTCCGCGGTTTTCGGAACTTGGTAGGGAATCGGAAGGGAATAGAGGTGGAAACAGATCATCGATCATATTCTACACAATGAGCAGCAAGGAAACGGTCAGACACCTCAAAGAAAAGTACATAATGACTGGATTAAACGGGGAACATTAACCTCAGATACCAACTACAAGAATGTTGAGGCCAAAAAAGTACAGAAGGCAATGTCCACAGGACTGCAAGGAAGATAGGAAAAGGTCTACAGAAGGGCCATTGTAAAGATACACGTTGCGACAAGAGAGAGGCCATGGACCACCTGTAGTAGAGGCGAAAGAGGCATTGGCAGATGAACAAAGAAAGTTTATAAATCCATTCAGTGTATTTATGGCAAGTTTAAAGGAGCACAGTTTTACCAATCAGGTACAAGCACGGAAATATCTCATAACAGAAAATAAATGAAAAGAAAGATGGGCCGACCATTTCCAGGCAGTTCTCAACATTTTAAAGATTCATTATCGATCTATCAAGGAAGGAGGAGATAGCTACTGCCATTTTTAAGACCTAAAGTTTCATTCATATAGTGAGCAGTTAATAAATATCTGTATAGTTTTTTTTTATTTATCAACCTTTATCACTAAAAAATTCTCTTGGGCGACAATATCATTGATAAGATTTTTCTTTCTTTTCACGTAATTGGGGAATCTAGAAGAATAAAGTAAATTTTCTTGTTCTCTGAGACATTTACTAGACAGTTAATTTTGAAATACATGTACCTTGCAGTGTCGGAGCAATCAGGAAGGATATGAATATAATCATATTTGACATCTTGGTGGTGTGTGACTCTATAATGAAGGGAAAATAATATCAAAATCACAAATTCAAATAAAATAAGTTATTACATTGGTATACATTAAAACTGTATACTAATACATGTACAGTGTTAACATGCACTGTTGTTTTGTTACATTTTAGAGTTAATCATTTTTAGGACTGTTAAAATGATTACAAGATAAATTTCGTATTTCATTGTTTAGAGTTTAGACAAATCCATAAGCAATTGCAGAGAAAATATGTTTTTAAATAAAAGATATTGGAGTTGATGAAACTTACATATTATTCATAGGTTTAAATAAAAAAAAAATGTTCATTATTTATGTCTAAAATGCGTATTGTCTTTACTCGTATTACTAACACTGTACATCGGTAAGTCATCTAATTTTTAAATTAATACGTATTTAACACATTATACTGACTATAACGTTAACAATGACTTAAAAAATAAATATCTTTTTCTTGTGCGAAATCAAGCAATAATATAACAGGCGACAACTGGTTCTAAACCAAGGAACGCATAAAAGTTAAATAAAAGTATTTCAACGGCTAACCAATTACATGTAATAATACTTGACACTAGTTTTTTGATATTTTGAGGTTTGATATATGATATATTCGCATATTAAATAGTCAACATACATGTATATCTTTCTAAAAATCAAAATAGAAATCACGATAGCTCATCTGAAACAATATGTTGCCAAACTCTAAACAAAACAAAAAAAAAACCCACACGCATCAAACACACACAGTAGGCCAGTAAAGTACGGACTTTAATTTTACGTCGCAGTTACAAATGGTTATCAATATTATCATATCATATAAAACATTACCGACAATTGTTGCAGCTAGACACCCAACCCGTCTATTTATCATCTAAAACATTCTCCTCTCCTTTTTTTTTATTTGATTTTGTAAAGTTGTACCATGTACTTTGGCCAACATGTAGTCCAGAACATTTGTACAATATACATTTTATTCAAAGTGCGTTTAGTGTCTCCCATGATAAAAAAAATGTTACATCTTCAAGCACATTGATACGACGGCGTATTAGTGCCATTTTAACAATGTAGAATTTTTTTTTTAAATCGTTTGTACGATTTAGTAAATCGTTTGTACGATTTAGTAAATCGTTTGTACGATTTAGTAAATCGTTTGTACGATTTAATAAATCGTTTGTACGATTTAGTAAATCGTTTGTACGATTTAGTAAATCGTTTGTACGATTTAATAAATCGTTTGTACGATTTAATAAATCGTTTGTACAACTTAGTAAATCGTTTGTACGATTTAATAAATCGTTTGTACAATTTAATAAATCGTTTGTACAATTTAATAGATCGTTTGTACAACTTGTTTGTTAAATCGTTTGTACGATTTAGTAAATCGTTTGTACGATTTAGTAAAATCGTTTGTACGATTTAATAAATCGTTTGTACGATTTAGTAAACTTATTAAATCGTTTGTACAATTTATTAAATCGTTTGTACGATTTAATAAATCGTTTGTACGATTTAGTAAATCGTTTGTACGATTTAATAAATCGTATAAACGATTTATTAAATCGTACAAACGATTTATTAAATTGTACAAACGATTTATTAAATCGTACAAACGATTTAAAAAAAAAATCTACATTGTTAAAATGGCACTAATACGCCGTCGTACATTGAAAAGCATTCAAAGTGCGTTTATTTTGTTCGAATTTAACTCACTTTGAATTTTTTTTTTTTTAATTCAAATGAGTTGATTTTCTTTAAAAAATTGAACATACGTGAATTTTTTTTTTCAAGTGCGCATTTTTATCAAAATGTGTTGCCACAGGATACAATGCACTTTGAAAAAATTGCTTAAAGTGCATTAATTTTGATTCCAGAAGTGAAATGCAGTCGTTGGCCATACTGTTGCTTAGATCAGCGACATAGTCCTTCAGCTTTTCTTCTTTAATTGGATGTTTTACATAGTATTTTCTTTGATTTTTTCGAAAATGCGTTTTATCTGGGACCAAGTTAATGCACTACGAAACTTTTTTTTTTTATTTCAACGTGCGTAAACATCGTAAACGAAATACACTAAAAGTAACTTTCTAACAAACTGTGAAAATTTAGGCACGTGAAATTAAAGCATCTACAGTGTATTAAATCACTTTTTAAAAAATTGCACGAATTGGCAAATATTCTTGCAAATATTAGGTATGATAAAAATAGGATCCCATGATTTGTACATGTAGTTGGATATGATTTTTATCCAAGGAGTTGTTTGATTTTTTTTTATCCCCGAGCTTTTGCGAGGGAAGAAAAACACAAGGCGACTTTTCATACACCACTATCAATTTTTTTTTACTGTTTTTATACCGAACTCTGTTTCATTTTACTTTCTCAAGCTAACGCAAAACCCATGGTGACGTCACAACTGTGGGATATCAAAAAATATCCAATGAGTCGTATCCACGGGAAAAAGGGGTCAAACATGGGATAACTGTATTTTAACCTGGTTGAATAACCTTTGAGTTATGGCGTCACTTTAGGATCTGAGATACAGACGTCTTGTTCCAAGGTGCTTGTTATATTGAGAAAATGCACACAAAAGCAAAGACACCCTGCAGATTCGGTAAATGTAGTTCTTTCTGGGCTTTCAAGCACGTAGTATCAGGTAGGTGTCATCATCATTTTTCCCAAACATAGGATTTTAGATCTGAGAATGTTCATTGTAATGCTCCCTCCCCCTATGTTGGTGCAAAGACATATGTCTCTGGTTGGTGTATACTAGAAGTTAAATCATGGTGATACCCCGGTATGAAAAAGTTATTTGGTAATTTTTTGTAAAAAGTGAAAAAATAAATTAGCATTCATAAACTAAAGTATATTTAAATAATAACCATGCGCGGATCTAGGGAGGGGAATCCACCTGGAATTTGCACAGTTATTTAAAGTATATACTTAACCAATAATTGTAAGTTTTGAAACATAATTTCTACTAGTATCTATTTTATAAGATTGAATTCATGTAAAATACATATGATGATTTCTGAAGTTATCTATTTACTAAGAACACAACATAACATATTATAATCTTAAGAGGAATAATGGTAAATCAAATCTAAAGGGAATGTCTTTATTTACATTTTTAATTTACATGCACAAAACATGTGATTGGTTCCAGGTATATCACAGTGTTAACAAAACTTTGTAAAAAGAAGGGATTGTACAATAAAGCTGGAGTCACTTTGAGTCTGTCTTGTTGTCTTTTTTCAGATCTTCCATTTTCTTCATTAAACTCTCCCAGGACTGTTTATTTACCCTTGGTACCTACAATCATAAAATTAGAAAAAAAATAATAGCATATTTGCATGACTTTACATTATGGTTTATCATCAATCACTTCATGAACATGTATTTATACCCTCTACATAATGTACACAGTAACTAATTAATTTGATACTTACATCATAATTTTGGTCAATGTAAATCCCTATCACCACACCTGCACCAACAAGACCCTAAAAAGTTGAGAAATACAATGATGTAAATGAACAATTATTTCAAAATCCTAAGTAAAACTGTTGTCTGGTAATAATTATCATTGTTGATTAATTTTGGAATTATGTAATATTAAAAAAGATATAATGTGGAATGTAAGAGAATTTTGAAAACTCTAATTGCAAGCCAAAGTGCCAAATGCTTCAAGTCTTTTCAGATGTAGTGAGACAAGTGAGGCTTGAAAATAACACTGCTGCATAAATTTAAGGCACAGCTTTAGTTCAAAAACCATATTAAAAAATGAGAATATCGAAGGGATAAATTGTGTTATCATATCAATTAACAAAAAAAAAACTGTATTGTCCAAATAAATGACAATGAACTGTACATGTACTAAATTAACGAGCATTAACTTTTCACACTGACACAAAAAATATGTGTGAAAGTATGAAAAGTTTTGAAAATAACAGTCACTTATTTTGTACAATACTAAATATTATTATAGACCCTATATAATCTATACTAACGCAAACAGTTCATAAGTTCATAACACTACATATTCACTGGATTTTAGGCCGTATTCTTGTTCAATCTTTGGGATGGGCCTCTTAACTCTTTTAAAGTTGTAGCTAGAATACCTACGATATAAAGTTATAAACACAAGACATTTTGAACAAAAGGCTAGAATATTGTAGAGAGGAGGAAATAAAAGATGTGCTCACTTTAACCTGCACACGTTTCTTCTGAAGATTAAAAAAGTCTGAAAGTTCAATGTCATGAATATTTTACCTACTATAATAGGCCTAAGTGTTACATTTGATTTTCTTTTGGGTGCAAATTCATTGCAAAGGGAGAAAACCTCGAAACAAATCCATTTCTTCCTGACTACCAAGTTCAGGCAAGTTGCATCACATTAAAGAATTAACTCTCACAATAATCCAAATTACTAATTCAGAATCTCCTATATCCTTTAGACTCTATTTTACAATACCAGTATGTTGTTTTGTCAATTTCTAAATCGGAAAGTTTTCTCGCACAAAACCTTTTGCATGACATTCAAAACGATTGACAAGCACTGAAGCAGGCTTAAAGTTTCTTTAAATAAAAGCATAAAAAATGAAAGAGATAAATAGTTGAATTGCAATTAAATAGCAATTAATATGTGAATTTACAAACCAATAGCTTCGCTAATTTGAAAACCATATCAGCATCAAAGTTTTGTTCAATTTTAGTCAAAGCGAAAGTACATCGTCGGCGTTCAGGTAAGATTAACTCGAGTTTCAACTTATTCGTTCTTTGTATGAGAATATGAGAGAATTAGGTATAAATAATCAAAACAGTAGAAAGTCATTTCACTGTTGATGAATTTGCATGAATCAAAATAACTGTGATGGAAACATGTATACAGACATTTTAACAAGATACACTATACCTAATATTTGAGGGCTTAAAACAATGAATTTTAATTATCACTAAATTTCAGTAACAATGTACACATTTTTAATTAAAAATAAATCTACCTATCTGGATAAGTTTGTAATGCATTATTCAAAAAAATACCTGTACTTCTACAAATATAACATGGTTTCGACGCCTATGTTTTAAGAAAGAATTTCATTTGAGTTATTTTAAGAAATGAATGTATACAATGTGTAATTGCGTACAATTTCTTGTGATATTTTGTCTAGACCCACGGTGACCATATAAAACAAATAAGCAAAGACACTTTAGAGAATCAAAAAGCAATTGTTTTATTGATAGATCAAGTGAGAAACAATTTAAATTCATATTCGGATCACTGTAAATTGTCCAGCAAATGAAACATCACACTGAGTTTATAATTTGTCTGGCGATGTAGTGTTTGTCTCCTCATCTTTTCCTTCCTCCTCCTCTCTATTTCCTCCCTTCGTTCTCTGGCTCTCTCTTGCTTTTCTATCATTGCAAGTTCCATTTTACCTGGAAAGAATACATCAAATGCCATTAGCCCAAGATAAGTACTGTTCTCAGCATCTGCCTTCTTGAAACACTTGTATATCTTTGCGTACACAAATACACGTTGAACAGTTTTTAGATATCGCAAAATCTCTCTTAGATTTTTTAAAGTCCTTTCAAATGTAGTTATTACTTTAAAATAATAGCGCATATTTGTTCATTTCATAAAAAGTGCAATATATAGTCTTACGTTTTAAATCAGCTACATCTTCATTTCTTAGAAGCTTTTTGCTCAAAGGCGACACTATATGGCATGCTGGCTCTCCTCCGCCAGTTATTGCAATATCAAACGCGACACCACCTCTGGTTACTTTGGCTTTGATTCCAAGTTTGTTAAGTATCTTTTTCAGCCTCTTTTGCTGCTTTTTGGTGCGAAAAGTTGTAGGAAAAGGCGCAACTTTACTGTTGAAGCAACCCATTTTGTTTACTTTGACTTCGTTGTTAGAGCATGCAAAGTTACTATGACGTCATCTTTATTGTGACGTTTGTATACTGTTGCGTCAATCGCGAAATCATAAGAGGAAAATGCGTACTTTATGCATCATCTCAAACAACAGCCCGGAGTCCGCTTATAGATTTCTTCTACCCGACCAGAATGGGAGAGGATCGTACATTTTGGCCGTGGTTTTCGACGATAAACTCTTCGATGAAAATATTAATGTTTTTACGTCCGATTCCCTAATTCTTTTTAAACGGCACCCTCCATTTCGGAAAAAAATCTGTTGTCTAAAAGGTCTGCAATACCTGGACCACAGGTACATATAAAAGTTAGTTAAATCTAACTAAAAAAATTTGTCAGCATGTGTTGTATTTTTGTGGGCGGGGGGGGGGGGTTGAAACGTATTTTTCATCAGAGTCTAACTCGCTAAAATTGTATAACCGAGTATCTGAATATGGATTTCAATTATACTTGATCAAGCAGTCAAGCATCTCTCTCGAGGGAGAGACGACACATTAAGTTTAGTATAACGAAAGTGAGGTCCCAGAGTAAGATGCCTCTGATCAATTGGTAATTCTCGACTGACTCTCAGATTTATATTTCTAACTAACTCTTACCTTAAAAACTTGTTCTGTCTGTGATAGTTGAAAAAAGTTACATCCTACTGTTTTATCGTGACATTATTGAAGCCAAAGAGATGGCATATCAGGCTCTTTTGAAAGCCAAACTTGTATATAGCCTTAAAGTTGACCTTAAACGCTGGAATATTAAATAATTGGGGGTAGTTCATGTTTCACAATAACCCTGCATGTGAAATGAATTCCTCTTGAATGATCAGAGTAAAAAGAAAAGTCGCCACGTTTAAAGCAGTGTTGTTCTTCTTCAATGTGAAGATATTTCTGTTGAAGCAAGGACAAATCTGTATTCAAACAGCCTATGATACAGATAGGAGAACTAAGCTCATGGAAGTCGAGCGTACGGTGGTTTGGGAGAAATAATTTTGTTAGTTTGTACTTTATCCCTCAATAAATTTTTCTATAAAAACTTCCAGTATATACGGAAGTAATATCCTCGCAATGCCAGGAGTCCTGAGTTAACACATTACCGTTGGACCCCTTATCGTTGGACGGGGTCCAACAGCAACGTGATGACTCAGGACCCCTGGCATCGCGAGGATGAAGTGATACATGTATAAGCTCATTTAAAGTCGTGTCCTTCATGAAACATCAAATGAAGATCTTTTGCCTCTCAAGAATTTCTGTAATTTGTTCCCCTCCAAAAAGCCAAAACTACTCTTTCGGGCTTGGATTCACAAAACTGATGTCGAAAGAACGTCATATCTTTTAAAGTATATTAACCATCGAAGTAAGTCCTGCAATTTTTCCTTTCAATTCAATTCATTTTCATTAATTTCACCGTGAGTGAAATTTCAAGCCTTTTCCTGATGCTCTCCAACATTTGAAAAAAATTCTTTTAAGTTGAAGTTAATTCCTACATATCTTTTAAAATCCATATAAACCTATCTCACCATCGACTGGTCGTTAGCATTGCGCAGTGGTTAGAGTGTTTGTTCTAGTTGATCCATGGGTTGCAGGGTCCAAATCCCACTGCGCGAGATGGAGACCAGTCCACTGGAAAAGACCGTTTAAAATGAGGTCACGGAACGTTGGTACGAAGTCCCTCGAGCCCGGAGCGCAATGGCCTGAGTGTCGAGAAAATGTCTAAAAATTGCAGCTCTCTATTGGCAAGTAGTTGCATCTCAATATGAGTGAAAATTTCTCGAAAGGGACGTTTTAAATAAAGCAAACCAAATCAGACTAAAATTATTAACTGATCTTTTTTATACTCTGCAATATACGACAAAGGAAGTTTTTATTTGTTTCTTTGTTTATTTTGATTTGATTTTAAAACACATTCTAAATGCAATGTTAGCCAACAAAACCCAGAATTAATCCTTGCTGTTTGCCTGATTGGATTACTGAAGTAATGGGCAAATCTCCTGTGCATTCCACCTAGTAGAGAATAAAACAATGTATAGGCATTTTAATTAATGAATCAAAATAAACTTGTAGGGGCAATAAAAACTAGAAAGACAAAAATCTTTTTCTGATAAACTCTCAGTGTCCGTAAACCAAAATGCTACTACACCTTTATAATTGGCACACAAAATATATATAATACCCATTGTCCAGCTATAAAAGAAAAAATTCTTTCAAAATGCATTGCAGAATTCAATATAAGCAACATTCAAAAGTATCTTCAAATTTTCGTATTCAGCATGGTCTGTATAATATATATGCTGTAAACATTGTAAACCGATGGCTTTTGAACACACTCTCTTAAGAATTTCAAATTGCAATCTTTTGTGCAGTTTAAATACAGATATCATTATATAAAAATCAATTCACTATCGCTTTATTCTGAACACATAAAGAATTTATTGCAGAAATTTCACAAAACGGATTCTATGACAAAAGCGTCAGAATAAGGTTTGCATAACGTGAAAGTGATAAAAATCTTGATAAACACTTCAAACATGCACGAGTTAGTTATCTGTGCTTGACATTTTAAAGCAGTTACGTAGTAGTTTAAAGTTTAAGCAAATCCTTGAATGGCGACCTAAAATGGCGGCTTACATACATGTTTCTGACAATGAAGATATTAGACTGAAATGTGACGCACACGATGATGACTTGCTCCCACTGTTTTGTAAGGACTGTAATTGTCATCTCTGCATCGACTGTGTTCCATGTGATCATGCTGGACACAACATCTGTAAAGTTTCGGAAGTCATAGAATTTCACAAGCAGGAACTTCAAGAAATTCTGTGTTGTGATACGTCATCACAATTTCTTGAAAAACGTTTGAGTCATTTGCAAGAACAACAAAAATCTTTAGCCGTACATACCGAAAGTCTGCTGCGAAATGTATTAGACCGAGAGGAGGAGATTATTGAGAGAGTAAAAATTTGGAGACAAAATTTAATTGACAAAATTATTTCATTCAGAGAAAATTGTGAAAAACATTTGAAGGACGATCAGATGATTATATCTTATCTACTTCAACATCTTGAGAAGAATCCAGAACTAGAGAGAACTGAATTGGAACTTTCGTATTTGTGTTTCCGAGGAAAACATCTATTAGGTGAAGAACGTTGCGTGACGTCTGATAAAGATATTACCGATTTTTATGGCTTTAATATAGGACCTTCAGGTGAAGACTTATATGACAATTTTGGAGTATTTAAATATATTTCAGAAGAAGAGTCATCGTCAGATTCAGTTTCACTTAACAACAGCAAAGAAGAAGAAAAAGAAGAATTTTGTGATTGCGAGGGTTTACAAGGAAAATATCAAATCTGCAATAAGTCAATCGAAAATATAGTACCCATAGATAGTGTGAGGTTCTTTCTTCTTAGTTCAAGTAACGTATACCTCTGTACTTTTCACGGAAGTAAGATTGATATGAAGCTTACTTTGAGTAATATTTGGCAAATAGCACTGATACCATCAACAGGAGATATACTTTCAATTATGAGTGGCCAGAAACAAATAAAACGAATTTTAAATGAAAATATCATAACAACGTTTGTAATTACCAAAGATCAGTATGAAGATGTTAGTTCCGGAGGAGATCAGGCATATGCATGTGTTTTGAATAAATGGAACACAAATGGCTATTGGTCTTTTAACATTCTTCTATTAAACGAGTTTGGTGTGATTTTGAAGACATTCAGAAATGGTCCATTTTATCTTTTTGAAAAAGGGAGATTGTTTAAGACAACTGAAGGGAACAAATTTTATCTTTCAACCCAGAAAGAGACTCGAATATTTGATGGCGAATCTGGAAAAATTACTGAAACATACAGAGGAGCAGTGGGAAACGATCCACATTTCCGATTTCATGCATGTGACATGATAACTGATAGTAACAACAACGTGTTGCTTGCTGTTACGAATGACAACGCCATTCATTTACTAGACAAATCTTTAAAATTTAAGAAACTGATACTGACTGAAGAAGACGGGCTCCACTCGCCATCTTGTTTGGCACTAGACACTTTTGGTTATCTCTGGGTGGGGTGTGAAGATGGACAGATGCATGTTGTGAATTATCAATATCTACAGACGACAGATCGATTAACTAGACTAAAATCTAAAAGATAGGGGTATTTACGTACAACATCAAATGTTTTATGTGAATTAAACGGTTTTGTTTATTATTTGTGAATTATAACTGCAGAACTGTACCTCTCCGAAAAAAAATATATTGCCACCCATTGTAAAAACTGTATATTATTTTTTATGCACACTAAAACTTGCGCTTAGTTTTGGATTAATTCTTCCAAATTCTTAATCCCCAATCGCAAAAGATTAACTAGGCTAAAATCGAAAAGACAGGGGTATTCATGTACAACATCAAACGTTTCATGTGAATAAAACAGTTTTTGTATATTATTTGTTAATTATAACTGCAGAGCTGTATGTAACAGATCAGAAGAAAAAAAAATATACTGACAGACCGG